AAGAAAAACCCTTTAGTAGTTGACCTTTCCCCCCTAATAAAACTCTTTATAAACAGCAATGATTTTCTAAGCATTTTTTAAAGCCAAGCATTTGTCCAAAGCTGTATTTTCTGTGGATGAAGAACCAATCTAAATATTTATTCATTTATCTATTCTTTTTATATTCCACCTTGTTTCCTTTCAAGGAACTCAGGGCTGCATACATAATCTTCCTCCTCCTCTCAATGTTACTCTTGAAACAACCCTGTGAAGTAGCTTAGGCTGAGAGGCAGGGTCTGGCCCAGTCACCCAGTGGGGACTAGATGAAAAGTTGGGACTGCTTCACTTCAGAAAGCAGGGGAGGGGGTATCATATTTGAATGCCCAACCTTCCCCCAAACTCATTTCAGATTTTTTAAAAAAGTGCCAAGGAAGATTTTAGACTTGCGCTCATCTTGCTGTCCTTGTTCTCAAAGAACAGCGTAATCCATGGTGATCATGCAAACTCTAGCCTTCTTTGGTCAGAGAGTTTTAATGCATCAGTGCATGCAAACATGCAGTGCCTCTCCTGCTTGCGGAAGCAGTAAAATTCCAGAAGGTCCATACCTAATGCTTTTCCTACATATACAAATTGGTCTTTACAGTAACTAATATGGCGTCATATATCTAGAAGCTGTGGTTCAAATGGCCAACCTGTGTTTTTTTTGGAGGGTTTCAATAACTTATAACAATGCACAAATTATACACTAGATTCCCATTAAACTTCTGCCAAAGGCATTTGGCTCTGAAAAAATCAGTATTCCTTAGATTTTAACAGGTTACAGTGGATTGACTCGAGACTGTTAGGCACATTTCCCAGTGAAATCTGTATGTTAATAACACCCCCCTACACACAATCCCCCCTTTCTATATTGTTTTCAATGGAAATCAAATGTGGTCTGGATCCAACATATTATTTATTTAAATAATAAATTGAATTAATTATAATTTAAATAATATTTATTTATTTCAAATTGCAGATTTCCTTAGGGCATAATCCAATGCAAGTTTAGGCAGAAAAAAGGCTTACATTGCCCAGCATGCACTAGCCAGATGGGTAGTGTATGCATTCTTTTGGTCTAAACTTGCATAGGATTGCACCTTTCTTTTTTCTTACTTTGAGTATGTTTCTGGGTTGTCCTTTGCCAAACATGTTAAATGTATTTCAGCATTTGGTGGATATCTCCTGTGTAGTTCTATTTCAGCCACAATCTTTTTATCTTACGTTTCACTGAAACTACACAGCATTAAGAATTCTAATTATGTACCAAGCTGCTGTTCCATGTTTTGGCTTTCAGGTTTGCCAAGAGTCATAAAAGGAAACCCCAAGCCCTAACTCTAACCCTAACCTTCTGCCAAAAACAAAATTTGGTACAAAATCATATTTTTTTGCACTTATATAAAAGTCCTAAATTAGTCATCAAATCTTGATTATTGATGTATCAGCTTTGGCTAATTGTGTCATTTAGATCAAAGGGGCTTGATAATCAGAACATAATTTATTTCAAGGCTCAGTCTCAGCAATAGCTTTTTGTTATGTTTATCCTTAGAATATATGAAGTCAGAATAACTATAATTACTGTTGAGCAGGGCAAAGCACCTTTCCTTCCGCACTAACTATAGGGAATCTGCACATGTGATGGTTTAGGAAAAAGAGTTGCCAAATCTGAGGCTGTTGTTTAAATGCTGCCATCTCTCTTTCTTGAAATTAAGCAATGTTTATATGGATGATGGTTTAATGATATGGGTCAAGGAGGTTAATAATGTCTTGCTGAGGCAGGCAGAAGTCCTAACATTAAAGAAGACAGTTCTGAAGCTACTTCTTAAGAAGGCCTCACTGGACCCAAAAGATTGTCACAACTATATTGCCTTGTCACAAATATCTCCTTTCAGACAATGGAATCAAGTGGGAGAGGGTTCAGTTCCAGGCTGTTTTGGATAAAATGCATTACCTAAACCTATTTCAATCTTTGTTGAGGCTGGGATTTGGCTTTGAAAGACCCTTGGTTCCCAGATGCAGAGAAATTGGAGAACTGTGACCCTGATGATTCTGTTTGAGCTCCCGGCAGTTTTTACTACCAACAATCATTATATTTTGTTGGACCAGCTCTGTAGCTTTGGAAGACTGGATTTGTTATGGTGACTTCTCTCTGACCTGAATAATCAGTTTCACAAGGTAGTTTTGGTAGACTTCTGTTTGACCCCATTCCATCTGATCTGCAAGAACCCAGATGGTTCCGTCTTGCCCTCCTTGCTGGTTAAAATCTACATGAAACTCTAAATGAGGTCATCTGGGGATAGGCTGAAGACACCCAGCTTTGTTTCTCTGTGTCATCTGAATCAGATGAGGTACTGGAATTTTCTGGACCTTGTAATGGGAGGGCTGAAAATTGAAATTGAATCCAGAGAAGATGACAGCACTGTGGGTTTGTAGTTTCCAGGTACTGGAGGTTGGCATGACATCTATTCCAGATGGGATTGTACTCTTCCTGAAGGAGCAGGTGTGATCCAGTATTGCCACTGGAGATGCTTAGAGCACCTTTTATCAACTTTGGCTGGTTCAGCAGCTGCAGCCTTTCCTGGATTGGGTTCACTTTGTTCCAGTGATTCATGTTCTGTTAACATCCAGGCTAGATTATTGTAATGCATTACTCTTGAAAACAGTTTCAGGAGCTTCAGCTTGTGCAAAATTCATCATCCATATATCTAACTGGTTCATCTCAATACAATTTTGGGGGAATTACATTGGCTTCCTATTTATTACTGAATCCATTTCGAGGTGTTGACTAACAAGCCCTTAGCAGCATGAGACCCAAGTACCTGAAGAATTGCCTCCTCCCATACTGTCCTGGCCATGTGTTAAGATTTTCAGGGGAGGACCTTCTTTAAGTGCTATCAGTAGGCTAGACAAGGAATAGGCTAGACATTTACAAAGGAGAGGGCCTTCTCTGTGGTGGCACCTCCCAAAGGAGATACAATTGGTACTAATACTGTTTCCTTGCCAAACTAGTGTGCTCATTTTTCCCCAGGCCTTATTGTATGTTAGTATTTAAAATGTTGACTTTGATGTCATTTTCATAATGCAATTGATTGTCATTCTTTTTTGTTTTCATTTTGTTTGCAGGGTAAAGATTTATTTTTGCTTTCTTTGGCCTTTCAGATTGTAATTGTAGGGTTTTATATTGGATCTGGTTTCTTGAAAGTTGTGTGCATTGCCCTGGATTTCCTAGCAGATGAAAGATAAGCATGATAATATTGAAAACTCCAGAAACACTGAAATTTGTGAATAATATTTGTGAGGGAGATATGTTTGCACACCCATATTAAAACAACAGTTTATTTTAAAGCAGGCAAAACATAGCACAAAATCTATTTCCAGGATGAAGGAACAAGTCATGGTTAAAAAGTAGGGAGTCCTTGTAATGTCCTTGATTCTCACAATTCAGAATTATTTGTTTGGTAACTTCTGTAGTCATCATATCCATTGTATAGCTTTTTTTGGATACAAAAACAATATTCCATATTGTATCACAATATAAAGCCCAGATGGCCTGGCACAAGATCACTTTTCCATGACATATTCAGTGGGACATAACTTACCTAGTATTTATTTATAGACTAGTCACAATATAAAGGATGTCCTTATTGAATAGAAGCAATTTGTGATCTCCCTGTCTTATTTATCCACTTTCCTCAACAATGCAATACATGTTTTTCAAAAGAGTTTATTAGAATCTGTGAAATTTAAACAAGTGGTTTGTCCATTCCTAAACAGGTGATGGATATTCACAACAGGTGGCTATTCAGATTATTCTCATCTGTAAATCCTGTCTTGAAAATGAGTATGTAGAGAATTCTGTACAGCTATACCTGCGCAGTGAATCCTCAGACTCTCTGCTACAGTTCTTGTACATATTTATCTAGACCTCCTTACTCGATAGCACTCCAGAGTGTTTAGTTTCCTGATGCTTAAATTCTTCCTCCCATCAGAGAAAACATATTGCACTATTGGTAATCTTGTGCTCACCCCACTGAGAATGCGTTAATCACTTAACCAAACTGAAATACTGGGAAAGGTGTTAAGAAACAGACTCACTTTATCATATGTAGTGGGAAAGTAACACTGTAGTAAATATTTTGAAAAACATATTTATTTATGTGTTACGTTTCTATACCGCTCAATTAAAAAAGTTCTCTGGGCAGTTAAAAACATTTTTTTCTTGAAATATCAAAGACTGCCAAACAAACTTGTTTGACCCTAAATTCACTCTGCTCTTATTAGCTGAAGTAAGAGCCTGTTTCACAGAGAGCTCATCATATTCTTGTTAGAAGCACCCTGATTAAATAGACAAAAGACTGACCAAGTTGCATTGAATTTGCCAAGGAGTGTCACAAGTAGCCCTATTAGAAGACTTAAAGCACCAGCTTGGACTCTCAAAAGAAAAGATTGAAGAAGATTAGCTTTATACAACATGATATCTGGAATGAATTACTGGAAAAGCTGTCATTGGTATCCTGTATTCAGGTCATCCTGCATTCAGCCTTTCCATTTTCATTTAAGCATATCTTTCTTTGTTTTTCTTTATGGCATCAATGCATTAAAAAGATTTTTAAAGAATCCTGGTGTAACATTTTTTAAAGGAATACTTTGCTTTTAGGTTCAATCTGCTTGACAAGTCAGAGTTGCCAAGAAATTTGAGAATAAGCATGGGACCTGTAGAGTTCAAAGCTGGCTTGCTGCTAACCTGTTTGTGGTGCTGTTTGCCATTGCTCTCTGTCTCTTACTTAGTGGCAGCTTATAAAGAAAGGGAAATATTTCTTATTCCTGCCAAAGCTCAGGCTGGGGGAAAAACATCCCACTCTGGTATTCGCAGTACAGTTATGACAAATGCATGGCCTGTGTTCTGAGTGTTAAGGGAAATGTAAAAACATGTCTAGTTGTTGTGAATGCTCACATGGTGATTTGTTGGTTTGATTCTTCAGGTCGTGATTTGGCAAGCACAACCCTCCCTGGATACCCTCCACACGTCCCCCCTGCTGGACAGGGCAGCTACTCTGCTCCAACGCTGACAGGGATGGTGCCTGGTGAGTTTTCATAAAATAAAATAATAATAAAAAGCAGCAGTCTTTTAGCAGCAGAGCCAAGTAGCTCCTTTGTGCTCCTTTTTATTTTTTTATTTTTGCCAGCAGCAGAATTATGGTGCTGAAAGAAAGATGTAAAAAAGACAACTTGAACAATCCTCCTTCTCTCTGACTTTACCTACAATGTTGATCTAACTCAGCTAAGCCAAACTATTAGTCCAAGTTGATTTAGGCCTATTTAAAGTTAGTGGGAGACTTTAATCTGTGCACATTGGCATACATGGAACTGGATTGGATACTATGAAAATTTATTCAGTCAAAATATGTATGAAAAGAAGGGTCTAGCCTTGTTGCATGGCTGTTGGATATACATGGTAAAATGTACATAAGGTTAATCTTAGAGTTACCTCGCTTCTCTGCTTTTTTGTCATGTGAATCATTTTAATTAACTTAGCTATAAGCATTTCTCACGGTTACGTCTGTGGAATCTTACACTTTGAAATTACGCTGCTTAATATGGGTGCCAGCAAATGATCTCATCCAAAGCTTTTCACACATGAGATCTTAGCCATTAATGTCTCCAGTGAATCACCTAATGTTCCCTGATGTTCACCTTTGGTCTTTATTATATCTTCTTTAAAAGAAGTCAGCCGTTTTCCATGCTGCTTTTCTCACAGTGTCTCAAGCTGCGTATCATTATTGGAAGTGCCCTTTGCCAGGTGCCAGGCTTTCAAGTGTTTCCAAACTTGGGTAGAGTTGGAAAAGTTTTTAGCATCTTTTTAAAAAGACATTCAGCTCCTATGATCAAGGCCTTAGTAATTCATACAGAACTGGGTAGATATTGGGAACTGGAGTCTGGGAATTGGACAGGTGTCAACTGATGATACTAGATATTAGGTAATGGTGAATTGTTCCCCCTTATTACAAAATACTACCCCTGTTCACATGCACATGCATAGACCCATATCCCATTCACACATACACAAATATATCTTCCATACACACAAAGACATATACACCTACACATTACATTCACCCATACCCCATGTCACAAGCCAAGGTTTCTCCTTCAAGCATTCAGAAGCCACACCTTTTTCCCCGAGAAAAGTGTTCATTATTGACCCGAAAGCACAATCTAGTAATCATCTCCAGGAACCCCCCACCCCATGAGCATTCCTGGAGGGGCCTTCTGAAAGTGAGCAGGCTTCCTCTGCATGCACCAGTTGTCTAACTGGGCGACTCTTCTCTGCTGACACCATGTCACGGGGTCAAGAGCTGGGGCTGCCTGGTCTGTATCTAAGAAACTCCCCTGTTCAGGGTCCCCTCCCACCAGGTGATTATTCCCAGGAACTGCCTGCCCGCCTGATGCGTCTGGCCTAGAGAAATGCATGTCTGCCTCTTCTCTTGGCACAGCCCATTCTCCCTAGCTCCCCTTTGATCCGCTTCACATTGTGATTTGGATTCTGATGAATCCCAGCCCGCAGTCCTTGAGAATGAGTGCCCAGAGCAGCCATCCCTCTCACTCCCAGCACCCCAATACTCCCACACCAGTCATACACAGATTGCCAGGCATCTGTCCTGTTGAGTTTCAGGTGCCTGGTGAAAACTTTTCTTTTCCAGTACACCTATGGCACCACCTAGACTATGTTATAGCAATGGCACTGATCTTTAAATACATTAATTTATGCCTTTTTAGTCTAATTACGTTTATTGTGAATCTATTCTGCTAATTTATTATGATGTTTTAATTTTATTTATTTATTTATTTATTTTTCGATTTATATCCTGCCTTTTACCTACAAAGGGCTCAAGGAAGCTTACATCATCAATGTTATTTACCAATTTTTATTGTAATAAAAATCACACACACACAGACACGCCCTAAATACCCATTCACACAGAGAGAACAATTCACACATGCAAATAAACTGTTCACATGTGCACTCACACTAATGCACACACACACAGCTTGAGTGCAAATCAGACACACATGCGTGCACACACATGTGCATACACATTTCATACTCAGACACTTCTCTAAACATCCATTCTCTCTCTCTCTCTCTCTCTCTCTCTCTCTCTCTCTCTCTCTCTCTCTGTCACACACACACACACACATCATTCATATACACAGATGTAGCTTTCACCTCACATTCATACCTCCCAGGCACCTTTTCACACACACATACATTTCATGTTCAGACACAGACATGGTTCATACACACAGAGAAATAAACCGTTCACATAGACATTCTCTCTCTCTCTCCCACACACAGACAGACACTCCCCCCCACCCCGAGTGCCATTCACACACATACCTTTTAGATTTATGGGCGCACAAAGCAAGAGGTACCATAACAGTAAAGAGGGAACAGCTAAGTCGGGAGCCATGCATCGAAGTGCTCCAAGCTCTCTTCCTTGCGAGCCATTGATACAAGGCGCTCCTTCTGAGAAAGGTGGGAGCTTTGGAATAGGGTCATGTCTTTGGGAAAGGAAGGGGTCACTGTCTTGTGGACGCTCTCTGGCCTGCAAACTGGTGTTCTGCAATGGCTGGTCTTTTTTTTTTTAACTTTAACAATATTCCACTCCTCCGTGGTATTGTAAGCTGTCTTTGAAACCTTCCTTGGTTTTGAAAACATCCAGCATGGTGGAGTGCTGTTAAGAGGTCAAAAGAAAAAGAGGTATTTCAAGTTCATAATACACAAGTTGGACCTAGAGTTCAATGTGCACTGTTCCTATTTAGGATTCTATTCTGCTACACAGCCAGCTGTGCCATTTGCTGAGACACCCCATTTCATTCCCCCCTTCTCATCAGTTCACTGTTCCCTTCTGCCCCACAATTCACAGCATTCCTTACCCACATATTTCTCATTGGGCTGTTTCTGGATTGTTCCCAGTAAAGCTTTTTAAAAGAGTTCTGCATTTTTGCAGCTGGGGCTTTCCCTGAGCCAGTTAATACCTCCCTCTTGTGTATGACTAATACCAATATTGGCAGCATAAGGATCTCATGTGTTTGTGATCAATATAAAAGATTCCTCTGAACTGTGTCCAGTTATGTTTTTGCATTGAGAAACCCACCTATCCTTCTTTAAAACCCTGAAGTGGGTGATCTAATTTATCAGTGAGTTCCAGTTCAGCAGTCCATTGTCTTTGGTCATTTTGGATAGAGTGTTCTAACGGTCAGAGGACAAAACCCGCTCACAGCTTCAAAGAACTTGATGAACTATCGCTTGCTTTTTAATGATTCTGGTTCTGTTGTCCTCATATCTGTGCAGAATAAACTCTGTTTTTAGGCAACACACATCCACATAGGTTATTTCCCTTGTTCACTTCAATTCTTCCTTTAATAACAACCTTCTGGTCTGGAAAGTTGAAGGTTATCTGCAATTCTTGTTAAGCCCTCCTGTTCTTTTCAACTAAGCTTTGCTAACTAGCATGCCAAATAATTTCTCGATCCTCTCTTGTCACTTATCGTTTGGAGGACCAGTTTCAGAAGCCTCTTATGAATGCTGCCGTCTTTTATGATTTGGCTCTGAAACAGCCGACAGATCAGCTTTATTACACACACATCAGTGTTTGTACTCTGATATGAGTGAATTATTCTGTCCTGACATTTATACAAGGAGAATTCATTTCACCAATTCTCAGAGACTTGCATCTAGACATCCTGATCTCCTGTAATAGTTTTCAGGGCATATGCAAAAAAGTGGTTGTGATAAATCCTTTATTAATTAACCATGAATTATGACTATAATTAGCCAACATAGGAAGAAGAACTGCAAGATAAGAAGTGAGTGAGGAAGTTTTTGTTTCATGTTTTTTGACACTACTGTATTCTATAGCTTATGCCCTTAGGCTTAAAAGTGCTACAGCAGACAGATATTGAAATATAAGCTACAGCTTTTTGACTTGTTCACTATTTGCCGAAGTAGTCATAATGCATGTGCTAGGGATTTTGTTATATTTAAGAGGTACAGAAATATCACAAACAATATTAATGCATCTACAACAATAAAAAATAGTAAACAACTACAACAATAACAACATTAAAAACTAGAAAGCAAGATTTATAACAGTTGGGCCCACTCCTGTTTAAAAGAACCTTCAAAGGTTGTGGATACTTCAGCCTATCATTTCTAGATACCTCAAAGGTTGTTGAGAACTAGTTCAGTGTGGTAATTAGAGTGTTGGACTAGGGGACTGAGAAATCCAAATTCTAGTAATAGTAGTAGTAATAATAATAGATTGTAGATACTGATTCTGACTCAGACCGAGGAGTCAGAATCCACAGCTGACACTCCCAGGCCAGGGGACCCTGAGAGAAACTAGACAGTCACTGAAAAACAGATAGTTGCCAATTTGTGGGGAAGTTTAGCAAGTATGATAATATGGAGGGTGATGGACCTAACATTAATCTGAGGATGTGTCTTCAGTTGGGTTGAGAAGCGTCAGATACTGCAAGCAACTGACCCTTAAGCAGGAAGATCCTCCTTGAAGGTGTGGTTTGCTATTTTTAGTTTGGAATAGAGGAGAGGTATTCAGTTTGGAAACAGCTTCTTTTAGTTAAGACTCATTTCCCTAATGGCCAGTATTCTGACTTGGCTTATTGCTTTTGTTATTGGCTTCTGAAATACTCTTCTTTTTCTACAAAGCCAGCCTAGCTGGTCAACTTTAACATAATAAAGGATTTTAGTTAGGATGGCTGTGTCCTGGTCTGCCTTGAAGACTGGGAAGAAGAATTACTGTGACAGCTAGCTTGGAACTGCAAATGATGTGGAGTTCCAAGTACTGGAGAACTTTGGATAGAATCCCCAAGATATCCCTGAAATATAATGCATAAACTAAGGCAAGTAGCCATCATACAGATCTGGTGTACAGTATCGAAAGCTAATGGGCATCAAGGCATCATCATGGGGCAGTGGTGCCAGATGCTTTCAGATGTTCTCCCATGCTGGATGAATTTAGGCCATTTCAGGCATTTTCTCATTGGAGTGGAGGTCACA